GTCCCAGTGGCCAGCAGATTGCTTCCAGAAGTCAAACAAAACCTTCAGCAAATGTCTTCAAAAACTCTCACCTTCAGAAGCTACAGCAGTAACTTCCTTTCTGCAGCACAACTTCCAGGTCTCTCCTGCATGTTTAACAGTACCAATTTAAGACCATTAAAAAATCCCATTTCAATCTACAATAATTGTTTTGGAAAACCACAGGTAGCACATCAAATAAATGGCTGCCTTTTCCTGCAGTTTAGAGAGTTTAAAACTTCAAACCACCAAAGTTCTAATGTTTCCTAACACATCCAGCACTGAAATGCCACCCACACTGTTAAAGTGTGAAAGAACCTAATAAAAATAACAGTATGCTCAGATGAAAAAAGGCACAAGCCTTTGGTACAGATGCAGACCTTCCTCATTTGAAGTCAGTATTTCTGCTTTAAATATTTCAGTTATGCAGTTAGTCTGCAATTTCCCATTCAATATTGAGTTAATACTAACCCATGAGATCAAAGATGAGTCAACCTCTGCTAGCAACATTCGAGGCACAAAAATCCACTTGAATTAGATCCATTTTAATTCTGGGGGAAAAAGAAGGAACCAGCAACACCAGAATATCAAGCCTGAGAAGTTTTTCATGTCCTTTAAACCTAAAGCCATTTCAGCAGGGGCAGGAATTCCAAGACATCTAAGCCTCTGAGTTGGGACAAGCTTGGCATTTCCAGAACTCTTTTATAGAAGGAAAAGAAGAAGAAAGACAACTTATCACCTGCTAAGACTCAACAGGAAAGTAAAGAAACCCCTCAGCTCAAGATTTATTAAATTCTCACCAGGTTAGGCTGTAGCAGACTATTAACCCAGGTTAAGTCTCAGTTTCAGGTTTAGAATGCTCTGTAAAAAGAATCATGGGTAAAATTTCCCAGTGGACTGTACTTATTACAAGTAGAAAATAATTTCTCTCTCATAAATACATTTGAAGATCTTGCCTCCCAGTCAGGAGCTCCAACCCTGACTAATGTATGTAACATTTAACGTGACAGAGGACACAGAGCAGCCCACCCCAGTGCCCTCTGTTCTCTGGTACAAGGAGGAGGAGGCAGCCCCAGGGACCCAGCTGCTCAACATCTCAGCACACTTTCCTGCAGCTCCCACAGATCAGCTCTGACATCTGGTTTGTCACATCCCCACAAGGACGTGGTGCTGACAACTCAGGAAGAGCAAGGAAGGGAGGGAACAGAATGAGCAAGCAAGGGTGAGAAGCAGAGCAGTAACCATCGCAGCTAAAAAGGTGTCAAAAAACAGCTTGAGGTTCCTTAGGAAGTAACTCGAAATATGGAGAGAATTTTTCTAAGGCTACAGCCTCCTGTGGAATTCATTTCCCAGAATAGACAGGCAGTTTCCAAGACATAGTGCTGAAATGCAGGAAGGCAATCTTCCATGGAATCATTCAGCAGCATGAGTTAGCACGCAGAGCTAACATCACCCCATCAGAGCCATACCCAGGACCCTCTGCAGCCTTAAATCTGCCAATACGCGTATTGGTAGCAGTGGTTTCACTCCAAACCGTTCATTATCAGTTCAAGGCCTTCACTGGAGCATTTCCAGGCATCAGAGTTCACACAAAGGATCTCCTCCAGTCTGTAACCATGAAGGACAGCTCAGGAATCCTGACAAGTCATTTCTACACAGCTCTGTAATGCCTCTGAGGAGAAGGCAAGCACACAGCTAGAATATTAGACGGCCTTTATGATTTGTGTCTCAGAGATTTCACACTATCAAACTAAGACACTTATCCTGAAATCTGTCCCCTGATACTCTGAAAATACTGTTTGGCAACACGTCCCTCACTGGAAGTACTTAAAAGGCATCGCTTCAGTTGCTGGTTCACAACCATTTTCAACAGATGAAAATGAATACTGTAAAAATAAACTCCTAAAGCGGTTATTTAAAACAGACAAATGCTCATTTGCCTCTATCTACAGTTCCAAAGTCAGACATACCTTAACATCACCTTGCTCTTTCAGGCAGAGGAAACTGTGGAGTCTCTGAGCATGACATGCCTAAAAGTTGTGTTAGAGTAACTCCAGTCTGGGGACCACTCAATATCTGATAGTTTTTTTTTCTCCAGGGTGGTGGCAATCAGCACAACTCCTAGAAAAAGTTTTAGTAGCAGCTATTCCCAATCTTATTTATCATGACATTACTGCCTGAAGCGTTACCAGGGCCAGCACAATGATAGCAGAAGTTTCCAAGACACAACACAGTCTCATTCCTCTTTCTACTGATAAGAAAACACTGAGAAGAACTGAATGCCTTCAGTACTTTTGCTGCTTTCTATACATGTATACACAAGCAAATATAAACACATAAACTATACCAACACCTTCAATAAAATTTTGTGTGTAACCTGGGTAGAGCTCCCAGTCAGGAACAGCCTGAGCATAAACAGAGTAATCCAAGAGTGAAATCCTGACCAAGACCTGATGGAAGGTATTTAAGGCATGGCTGAGCAATACATATTTTTTCACTAGACTGAAGAAAGTACACTGTAGACAGCTAAATTCCTTAAAAATCCATGATGCCAAAGTGATTAATGGATTTCCTGAAGGTGACTCATTAATGCTTTCATTTTAGAGAATAAAAAAAAATCCAGAAACATCTTGTAAACACAGGCAGACATCCTTCAAACTAGGGCCAACCTCACACTCTGCTTATGGCAAACATTTAACAAGATTTTTTGCCTTTTTTTTTTATTCAAGCTGTTACCTCCACGATTCAAAGAGGTCCAAAATACTGCTTTCAAGATTAGCAAATTTCTGAACATGCCTTTATAGTTGAGGGAGGAGAGTATTCCAAAGCTTAGCACCAGCTCTTTAGATTCAGACCTGCCATATAAAGGAATACTTTGCAAGGTTTACCAGCGCTATCTACTTCCATCCATGAGTGCACAAAGATTAACTCAGAGCATCCTCCATGGGTCAGAATAAAACCAAGGCCTCCAACAACAAGCAGAGACACATAGTTAGATTACAGCCTTTTGACAGATTATTAAACATGTCAGTGAACACAAGTTATGACTTTGTTTGTTTTTTTTTAACATGGCAATGACTCATCACACAGAAATCCACTTGCTCATTTCCGGACAGTGGCCTCAATTATAAATGTAATAAAACTGTAAAATTGAGGATGTGCAGCTTTATCTCAATACAAGAAAGAGCTCTTGATCCAAGAAATGCTTCCTGTAAGAGAACTGTTCCTTTCTTGGTTCTACATTTAACACACCAAGGCAGTTCATCTCCCAAAGTCTGCTGTCGAGAAGATGAGCCGCAGACAGGGTTGGAAACACAAAACTACAAACACGTTGAAACGAGAAAGAGTGACTAACAATCAAGAGTTTGAAGCAGACCAAGAGACTCCAATATCACGTTACCTTTGGTTAATCTGCAGGTCACAGACAAGAGGGATCGCATGGGAACGGGCTGAAAATGGAGAGGCAGGCTAAGGGCAGAATGCTGCTGAGCACAGCCAAAGCCTCCGGGAGGTGAATGGACACCGAGACAAAATAAACAAACACAGCAAGGGCTGGTGAAAACAAGGGATTGATGCTGGTGAAGTATTGGAACAGCAGCCTCCAGAACTACAGCTCATTAGTTTGTGCCTTTACTGCTCTGGGTCAAGTAAGAGCTTTTATGTCTATGCAGATGACTACAGCTATCACAAACCTAAACCTGAGGGGCTGGGGTTTTATTCACCCTGTGAAAGCGTGTTCTTCATTGACCAGCAGTGCTTTTTGCTAGCTTAACACCAAGTGTTTTGTAAGATCACTTACCAATCAGGGTCCTGCTGGGTTAGTGAGCTGATGGACTAGAATTACTCATGCTAACTTGACACACACTGTAATTTTGTCTAAGAGACACAAACAAACAAATTGCATTGACAAGACACAACTCAAGGATGAAAACATCACACGAGAAAGCGCAGTATGAAAACCAGTTCTTTGGGAAAACACAGATAACAATGGCATTTGATGATTACCTATAAATTTGTCCAGCCTTTTTAAAAAAGCTAACAAATCACTGTACTGGGACAACCAATCTGGCCACATGTACACCCAGCCATCGCTTTTGGCAGAGCACAGATCCCAATTTTAGAAAGCTGTAACATCTGTGCAACCTGCCACATGTTTGGTGAAACCCACAGCTATTCAGAGCATCTTTAACATACAAGCAGGGTCAGTATGATCCTTTACATCAAAGCTACTACATATGAGAGAGAATCACGGAGTCATAGAATGGTTTGGGTTGGAAGGGACCTTAAAGATCATCTTGTTCCAGCCCCATGCCATGAGCAGGGAGCCCATATTACTCAAAGCCAGGCAGTTTCTAAGGGTGGTATTTTGTTTTATAGGCACCTTTACTGACCAAACTCCCAGGCAGGATGGGGTAATCACGACTGTTTCAAAATTCCCATTAACACAACTCCATCTCAACTGTTGTTCACGTCTCTTCCGCCTGATATTAACACGTAGCATTGCAATTGTCATCGCACAGCCACTAAAGAATTTAGAGGCACTTCAGAAACCGCAGAATGGCAAGGGGTCGGAACGGACCTTAACGATCACCTCGTCCCGAGCCAGCGCAGACACCTGTTCGGTTTGTCCTGGCAGAGGCACCACGGGGCTCACGGACGCAATGCCCACCCAGCAGAGCATCCCTTATGTAAGGCGGACACCACCCCAAACACGGCCCTTCGCGCCCGCCGATGCTCCCGGGGGGGACCACACACACCTCCCAGCACCGGGAACCATCGGGGTCAGCCCGGCAGCGCCGCCGGGCAGAGGCAGCGCTGCTTCGTTTGGGGCACAAACCAACACCACACGGCGAGGTGCGAGCCCGGCGGGACCCCGCCACACGCACCGGCACACGCGTGACCCGCTCGCCCTCAGAGGGGTCCCGGCCGGCCCGCCCCGCTCCCCGCGCGGCCCCTCACGGGGGGCTGCCCCTGCCCCTCACCGGCTCTCAGCTGCAGGCTGCCGTCCCTCCGGCTGCACCACAGCGCTCGCTCGCCGCTCTGCAGGATGTAGTGGTCCTTGGCTTGGAACAGCTCCATGCTCGGCGGGTCCCGCCGGCGGGAAGGGCGGCGGGCGCTGAGGGAGGGGCGCGCGGGGCCCTGAGGGAGGGGCGCGCGGGGCCGTCCCGCCGCTCGCGCCGCCGCGCGCGCCCCCGGGGCCGAAGGGGCAATGGCCGCTGCGGCGCGCGGGCACGGCGCGGGCGTGAGCGCGCGCGAGCGCGCTGCCTCGGCCGGCGCGAGCGCGGGCTCCGGCCCGGCCCCCCCCCCAGCACGTGACACCGCGCGGCCCCGCCCGCGCGCGCTTAAAGGGGCCGCGCCCATCCCTCAGCACCGGCAGTCTCCCCTTATCCCGATCCTTTCAGCACCAGCCATCACCTCCCCTTATCCCGATCCCCTCAGCACCAGCCATCACCTCCCCTTATCCCGATCCCCTCAGCACCAGCCATCTCCTGCCCTCAACACCAGCCATCACCTGCCCTGGGCACCAGCCATCACCTGCCCTGGGCACCAGCCATCTCCCCTCAGCCCGATCCCCTCGGCACCAGCCATCATCTGCCCTCAGCACCGGCAATCTCCCCTTATCCCGATCCCCTCAGCACCAGCCATCACCTGCCCTCGGCACCAGCCATCACCTGCCCTCAGCCCAATCCCCTCAGCATCATCCATCATCTCCCCTCAGCACCAGCCATCTCCCCTCAGCCTGATCCCCTCAGCACCATCTGCCCTCAGCACCAGCCATCACCTCCCCTCAGCACCATCTCCCTTCACCCATCTCCCCTCATCCCACTCCTTTCATCTCCATCTCCCCTCAGCCCCATCTCCCCTCAGGTTTTCCCGTGGGGGAGAGACTGTAACTGCTGGCGGGACCCGGCAGGAGTAGATAGAGCAGGTAACTGGTGGTGAAAGGAGTAATTTTCATTTTCGATGGTGATACAGAAGGCAGCACCTCCTGGTACAAGGACAAACCGTTCCCTCTGTCCCCTCTCCAGGCAGCGCTGGGAAATGCACCAGCAAACCTGTCACTGTGCAGACCCTTCCCAGCCTTACTGATGGCTCCATGGGCTTCCAGAGCTGCTGTTTGATTACAGGAGCTGAAGTTCCACTCCCTGTAAAACTGAGGTAGAAATGGACCCAAACAGAAAGCATCCCATCCTGCATCCAGGGAGGTGAGTGACAGAGCCCTGTGGTGGCATCCCAGGGACGGGCTGCTGGGCAGGTTGGCCTTTTCAACTCACGAATAAAAATGGTTACCAGTTATTATCAAACCACCCACAGGAGTAGAACAGCACTACGTTCAAACCACTCTTTGAAAGGACGGTTTTCTCTCTCATACAACATTTCTCCATTAATGTATTACTCATGTAAGTTATGCTATAAAACATGTGGCTAAAGGGCATTAAGAAATGAGAAATCTCCTTATTGAATGTTAATGTCCAAGACTGAGGAAAGAGCTTGATTTTGGAAGGTTCTGAGCAGCCAGTCTAGAAAAACACTCAAGTGCATGCATGCCTTTAGATGTATAAATTAAATATGTTCGACTTTAACACCTTTTAAGACGAGCGTGTGCTTCAAAACTTTTCTGGTGTAAAGACTAAGAACTGAATGGCTCAGTGGGTCAAAACCCTTTGGTTTTGCTCCCATCTCTTTAGTCTGCACTATCATTCACTAAATATTTCTCCCTTGCCGTATCATCTCTATTCTGGTGGCGTTTCCCGAGCAGTTCAGTGTTGGAGTGCGATGCGCAGGGTTGCCATTAAAATGCTTGCAGGGATTTCAAGGACAGACTTTGTTTTGCCCTTGATCATGCTTTGATC